GGCACCATGGCAATGTAAGTTCTCCTCAGCAGACATCTGTTGCATGGCAGGTCTGGGTGATCTGTAGTCTTAGACTGTTTGGAGGGTGAAGATGCCTTCACTGTACATACAGGGTGTTCTAGGATTTGCTTCTCTTTGCACACCTAAATATGTGTAGTGAATATTTTGACATGTGTGCAGCCTTGGTAAACCATTACCTGAAAAAAAGACCATAAAATTGTGTTTCTTACTGTCTGACTTTTAAAAACTAGTCACAGGTGATGTTTCAGTATATATAAGGATGTCAGCTGTCAAGATTGGGCTTTCCCTTGAAATCTGTAGTACAAATTTGTGTAGAGTAGTTGACTGCAGAGGGGGATTTAATTGAATTTAGGATAATCAAGTTAAATTTGCTTTCTGCTGCATTAAACTTCTATTCCCTATGTCATTTTGAAAATGACATATAAATATAAGGTAGTGGAGACTACAGTGCTGATTCCCATGCTGGGATAAGCTGGAAGATGGGTTGCTTAAATAACTGGTTTTAAATAACTGACTGAAGATTTTAAACTTACCATGTCTTTATGCAGTTCCATGAGGAAGCAATTGCTTTCCAACCTTGAAGAAGTCTGAGCAAATATGTAGGATAAAAGTGAAGTTTCAAGATGGTGTAGGAAGTCACATGCAAGACAAACCCTTGTACCCAGAGTATCAAAACATTTTGTTTCACATGGCTGGATGCAAACTTTCACAAAAGTTTTTATGAATGGAGCAATATCTAACCCTAGTCTGTCTAGGCTTAGTGTTGCTTGTTAACTAGAAGGATCTCTGATTTTAGGGTTAATTATTGGCTATCATCTGATCAGTGAGTTCATAGTGTAATATTTCATCACCTATTTATTTTGAATAAGCTTTATGTGATGAGTAGAGTCTTGTTTTTTCAAATCTGTCAGCCCATAATTCAGTATTTCAAGAGTTTTGATGCCATACTGCAATGTTTTATGCTTTGACTTCTTGGGTTTTTTTTTTCCCTTTTCTCTTTTTTCCTGCCTCTTCTCCACAATAAATTACTCCATAGAGAAGCAATTAATCTTCTTTTTTTCTGGTCTGACATGTTTGGCTACTCTTTAATGCCAGCAAAAGTATCATTATTTCTAACTAGTGCTTCTCTTTGTAAAGTGTGGTATAAAATACATATTAATGTGTTTTCATGTAATTTATTCATATGTAATAAAGAAATAAAAAAGGAAAACCTGCATTTTTAGTGGCACTAAAAGCCAGTGAGAAATCAGAGTGTTTTTATGACTACACTGCTATGTAAAAACAGGAGCATAAAGACATAGGACAGTTCCTTCTAAATCAAACAGCTCCCCATCTATCCTACTGTTCTGCCTCAGAGGCAGTAGAAGGTGCTGTTTACCCTATGAACCTGGCAATTTTCCATCTTCTATTTTCCTGATACTGTCCCAGCGCCCAGGATTGTATTAAAGAGGAGGGCATCTCTGATTCATCCTTTCAGTATCTACTTGGACATTAGGGAGAAATTTTGGACATCAGGAAGGATTTCTTCATTGAAAGGGTTGTCAGTCATTGGAAAAGGCTGCCCAGGGACGTGGTGGAGTCACTATATCTGGAAGTGTTCAAGAAATGAATGGACATGGCACTTAGTGTTGTGGTCTGGTTGACGGTGGAGACCGGTCAGAGGTTGGACTTGTTGATCGTGGAAGTCTTTTCCAACTCTATGATTTATGAATTTATTGCTTGTTAATTTTTCTAAAACCTTTCTGAAATCGGTGAGATAATAAGCAACTGGCAGGAGAACCTTTCAGATGCCCTTTACTGACTTTTAAATTACACTTTCTTAAAGTGCTCTCTCTTCTACCAGCCTTGTGCTCCTTTCCTATTGGCTCTTGCATTTCAGGGTTTGGTGACCAACAATTCTTCAGTCACTTTATCCACTACCTTTGTGTTTCTCTAAATGCTGACATCTTGTCCCTTGGCCTCCTCATCTCCAAACTAAAAAGTGCAGGCCATTTTAATCACTTCTTAAGTCCTTTGATCATTTTTAGCTGCCCTTCCTTGGACTTTCTCTAAATCTATGAAAAGAAGGGGAAAGGAAAAAAGAACAAACCAGAGAAATATGTGTGAAGTGTTCATACCGGAGTTCTCACAGAGGCTGTGAGAAGCAAGCATATGGGACTTGTTTTCTCATTTCATATTCAAAGTTGAGAGAAAGAAATACATTGAAACAATGTGTCTTTTAATCAATCTTCATTGCTAAAATAAATTGAGATGACACCTCAAGGTATGTTAGGAGAAGAAGAAAATGCAGAAGTATAAGTGTGGAGGAATGAAATTTACTGAAAAAGATGCCTGGTGACATACTATCACAAAGTAACAGTCATAAGTAAAAGTAACAGTAAAGGAAATACGGAAGTTAAGGAGAGCATTTTCTGCTGCTCTGTATTCTTCCCATTGTGGCCAGGCTATAGCATGAAATAAATGTTCTTTTTTCAGCAAACTGTTGTATCAGAATTGTACATCTTGATAAAAACAATACTAACTGATTTTACTTGCAGTACATTATTATTCCCTCTTATGGTTTAAGTAAAGCTGAAAGAATGATTGGGACTTTTTAGATAGCAAAAGCAGGATGTGGAGACAACATCTGAGCACAAGGATTTGCAGTGGATATAAAGAACATTTTGGCCTAGCAAATCTTATAATAATATTATGAGACACTTGTACAAACTTGTTATGTGTGACACCACTGAGACTATAATTCCATATAATGAAAATAGAAATTGCAGGAGAATAGATGATGTTCAGCTGGACATTAGTCAGTCTCATGCCAGGGGCTTTAAGAAGAAGGAATAATGGCTGCAAAGTCCCCGCATGTAGCAAATATTCAGAAGTTCAAAAAACTGATACCAGGCAGATTTAAATGGGACAATCCCTGAGATATTTGAGCTGTGTGTCAAGGAAAAAAAAAAAAAAAAAAGGTTTTTGTAGTTTCATCCAGTCCTGAATTTCTAAATATTTGGTCTTTGACCTTACCGATACTAAGCATGACTTTGTGTTGTCCAGCCTACAGTGTGCAGTGTGAAATTCTTTGAATCCTTCATCGCCAATGAAGGAATGATGCTTTCAGGAGGATTCAGACTGTATTGCCCAATCATATATAGGACGTGATGAGACTATCTGTTGAACTAGTAACAACTTCGTCAAGCTTCAAATCTTTTGCTGGCAAACATTGTTTCTTTTAAAGGTCTTGCACCAACTGTTCACTAACTTCTTAATATTAAATACAATTTCAAACAACCCTAATCAGACACCTTTGTGCTGTAACATTGCCTGATATTAAACAATCAGATATTTTATATTTCTCCTTCATTATAAGTGCACAGATTTTCCATATGTCTTGATACCTATATACTAAATAGCAAGAGAAACAGATTATTTCTCTGTCTGAAAAGGGCAAAGCACTAGCTCTGTTATAAGAGGCGGGCTGAGTTATGGCTTTATTTGGATTCCAGTCTGTTAGTTCCTCTCCATGAATAACCAATTATGATTCATCTTTCCAAATACCAGTTATTTCATAAATCCTGTTGGAGAGCACAGCAGTGTAGCTAGAGTGCTGTCATGGAGCTCTACCCATAAAGTCACTGATGCAGTTATAATATATCTGCACATAATTTAATTCCCTTGTTGCATGTCTTGAAGGTATGCATCTCTGTACTCTCACATTTAAAATCCTTTAATTAGGGATGCTTTTCCTTGTCTCTTGTATATATTTAGAATTCTAAACAGGTGCTGCTTTTAAAGTATTCAAGGGATTTAATTGGGCTCTCTGTTTCATATAGTAAAAAACAGATTTGGTCTTCAGAGACCTCTAGTTTCTATGTCACAAGGTGATTATTTTACTTAGTCATTTTGATAACAGGTCCTGCAGTTCTGGCATGTCCTGGTTCTGCAATAATTTAATAACTTCCCTTCCACATTTGCTTTTGCAAGATGTATCTGTTACAGAAAGTTATTTCTGCAGTGTCCTGAAAGAAATGAAAATGTTAGTGTTCTCCAGAATTTGCAGGAGATCTCATGTTCTGTCAGGACCCAATATGCCCCACTCTGCTGTTGCTGCAGCCCAGTAGCATATTCCACTGTTCAAACATACAGCAACAGGAAGCAAACTGGGCAACTGAAAATGTGCTCATCATTGTGAATTAGAAGTTTGTATTAGGGTACGATTTTTTCAAGTCTGAAAGGTTAAATAGATTTTAGTATAAAAAATTGTGTCAGAAATAAAAATGCAGAAGGCTGTCTTACTAAATAAGAAAAGTTAGTTTAAGAAAAAGAATGTTGTAGGAAAGAAACCTTCATTGCACTGCAACGTTAGGAAAACTGAACTGGAGATGGTCAAGTAGTTCATAAGCAATCCCAAATCTAGTTAGTTTAAGCAATACCTACAGTGAAAGGGATTGAAAGAAAATATCTGGGAAAACTTGTTTGCATTTCTCACAATAAAGTCATTGTTTAAAAATCTAATTTATATATTACAAAGAGGCTGATCAGTTCTTATCTCAAATATGCATGGACCTTAATCACTTCACAGTTACAGCAAGATTCACTTTTGTTTCAGTAGGATAATAATCTTATCTAACAAGAGCTAATGGTCTGCTAGCCCATTGTTCAAAAGTCAGTATCTTAGCTCTCTGAAGGCTAAACTTTTTTGCCTTAGCTTCCACATAGCAGGCACAGTCTGTGCTGCTACATGTGGAGTAAGAAGTTAAAACCCAAATGTTTCCTTTATTTAATGACAAACATTAATGTTATGAAAAGAACAGCCAGTGAACAGAGAAGACAACTTGTCAAACTTAATCAAATTTTGTATTGAAGCTGATCTCTCATTACTGCTATTTCAGGTGATTTGGTGTTTCTGAAAGAATTTACTGTGATATGTTGCAACACAATTGCAGATGATTTTATAAGTATTCACTTAGTGGGATTTACTGGAACAGTACCTTTCTCTTCGCTTTGAGCTGCTCGTGATATTTGTTGGATGTGTCGCCTGGTATTTCTCCTCCCCAGAGGGTAATTCCCACCATGGAATAAGTGATGCCCATGATGAGCAGTGGGAAGCAGTAGACTAGCACAATCACAATAACATGATACCTGCAATGAAAAGATAGTAAGGTGGTAAGTGCCTTCAGAGGAGCTATACCAATGGAATGGGCTTCTAGAAGTCAAGACTTCTATTTTAGCACAAAGCATGTTTTATATTAACTGGCCAGTCCTTGGTGTTTTCACTGTCTTTTTGAAAGTCTGGAATTGCGCTGCAAATTTATGTACATTTTAATGCATGTGCTTTGTGGGGTATCTAATGCTGAGCCTGGACTAGTGTATTATGAGTGACTCTATGGTTATTCTGATTAGCGACTGCAGAATAGGGTGGGTTTGTCCATAACTAGATGAGTTGATTTAATTGCACAACCAAGTATCATGAGGGAAAGCTAGGCATTTGGAGCTCTAGTCTGGACCATAAAATAAAGAGGAAAATAAGTATTTTAGTGATATATTGATGCAAAAACTCTGGTAAGAGTCCTATCACCCAACGTTCTTCATATGGCAGATCTGTGCACACAGACAACACAAATCTGTGTGCAGTATAGTCATTGCTGCTGATGTCAGCACTGGGAAAACAAAGATCATTTCTTTTGCCTCCTGCTAGTTCCTGGTTAAATGTCAACTTCAGATGAAATCCTAGTGAATGATAAGTGAAGGATCCCCAACAGTCACTGAGAGTGACCTTCCTGCTCTAAAGAGAAATGTCTGTGAGTGGCTCCTAAAGTGATAAAAATTATATGTGACTAGGATGTCTTTCACCTGCCTCATAAAGAGCAAAAGGTCAAATTTGATTCCAGATAGTTACACAGACTTTCAGCCTTGAACACAATATTTTTCTTAAATGTCAGTGATGACATGAAAGGATAGATGCCTAAGTAGCCACTTATTCCTAACTCTACCAGAGGGACAAATAGGATATATTTAATTGAATTGACTGATATTCTCACATTCAGAAAGTGGAATCAGTTGCAGGTTATCTAGTTTTCTCTATTGGACTAATATCTGACATAAGTAACAGAATGAAGTGGCAAAATCCAGCCCTCCCATGGAGAATTCTAGAGAAAAAACCAGCTGGTTAGGGTCTTCTCATTCTCTACAATTACCTGAAAGTAGATTGTAGTGAGACGGATGTTTGCCTCTTCTCCCTAGTTACAAGAGAAGAAATAGCTTCAGGCTGTGCCAGGGAAGGTTTAGACTGAATGTTAGGAAAATTTTATTCACGAGAAGGGTTGTCAAGCATTGGTACAGGCTGCCCAGAGAATCAATTGATTCACCATCCCTGGATTTATTGAAAACCTGTGAATGTGGCACTCAGGGACATAGTCTAGTGGCGGACTTGGTAGTGTAGGGTCCATGGTTGGACTTGATGACCTTAGAAGTCTTTTCTAACCTAAATGATTCTGAGGAGAGACTAGAAAGCCCTTTTTTTTTCCTGGTTAGGATAAAGAGGAAGTTTGCTTTGAACTGCATGTTATGTTCCCAGTTCTGACCATCTGTCTGTATAGAAGTAGTGATCTTACATGCAGCAATGACGGTAAAAATGTAGCACAGGAGGGAGCACACTCAGATGTGCAAGAGAATAAATTTGTTCAGTTTATCACACATAATGCTTTATCATCCGTAGAAAACTGGCTCTGCATTTCTCAGTGATCAAAGCTGTTAGTTATTCTGCGTGTAGAGTATCTGCACAATGCCAGAGATTTTGCCAAGTCCATTGCAAGTCTCAACACCACCATGCACAAGTTTAAAAGAACAAAAGCTTACGTAAAATGCTGTTTTGGACCACCTGGCCATGCTACATAGCAAAGAGTTCTCCCAGGCATCACCTTGGTTATGGAGTATAGGCACTGGGGAAAGGCCAACAGGAATGCCAAAATCCATATGCTCCCAATGACCACTTTGGTAGCAGTTGCAGAGAGCCTAGGTTTCAAGGGATCAATAATGGCCATATATCTGTAAAAGAAAGCAAAAACCTCTGTGTAAGAACTCTTCAGAAATTCAAATGTATCTAGAATCAGCCAAAGCTTAGGGCAAAAGTGGAGATATTTGTCTTCCTGCAGTTCTGATGTTGCTGTGCTCTTTGTGTAGTTCTGCTCCAGTGAAGGCAGCGCTGAAAGGAGAAGCAGGTTCATTGGATATTATTTTGCAGCCATGGGACACCCAGTTAATCACATGTGCTATCAGTAGAGAAACTATTTTGCAAAAAGTTAGACAATTCTGTTACTGTACAGCCTGGTGGAAAAGCACAATGCAGCTGAATCCTCTGTTACTCTGCTAGGTCATACAACATTTATTTCTTATACAAAATTTTGCAGCCAAGCTGTCAGGATTAATAGTCATCTGTCCCAAAGCTACAGGAACCTGATAAGTCCACATGCATTTATTTCAGTAGAGAGAGACTGACTTCAGATTGTCTGCCAAAGAACACCAGAGCAACTGATTCATACAGAGAACTGAGAGAAGAGCCAGTTTAGAACTGGTAAAAGCATTAAGGGAAGTAGATGCATAAAGCAAGAAAACATCTCATTTGCCGTCTCAGTTCCCGTGCTCCCAGGAAGGATAGCCTTCTTTGTCCTGGCCCATAATTGTATTGGCAATTCAGGTATGCGGTAACCTTAGAAGAACATGCAAAAAAAAGAATCAAAATGTTTAACTAATTACAATTAAAAGTTTAGGAAAAAAAGCAATGAGAAAAAGCATCTAAATCAACAGTAATAGAAAAACAAGTCTTGTTTTGTGGTTTTTTTTTATTATTTCTGTTACAGATGCAAGGAATAAGGAAGACACAAAATTTGTATCAACCATTTTTTGATTAATATCTTGTGTTTGCTGCAATTGAAAGACTCATACTCATTTCAAATAAATGGAGTCATATATTTTAATTGTTACGGTACACATCTAGGTTCATGGCAGACTTGTCCAAGGTTTTTACATATCGACATTAGCCATGAGACAATAAGAATAATATTAATAAAACAATGTTTCTGGTAAGAATTTGTGCAATAATCTTTTACATCCATATTTACATGCTGTGGTACACAAATTTTACTCAAGATAGTCTTATTTTTTTGGAAATTCAGATGAGTAATTACAGAACAGATATTTGTTTTAGCAAAGCTAACTCTGTTTATAGTTAATGATAAAATATGTGATAAATCCAACATTGGTCATAATAGTGCTATGCCTTTTCTAGTAGACATAACTGCCCTAGTATCTTAAAACATCTAAGTGTTGTCAGAAACAGGGAGCGATCTAAAACAGCTTCAGTTCAGTTCTGAATCATCAGTTTCCATATCTGGAATTTCAAGTTTGGTAATTTTTTGTTTTCACTGCACTTTGATATTTTTTCTCTGTAGGGTAACAGTTAGTTCCCCTCTCTTTCACGTGCCTTTGGCTTTTTATTGTGTTAGGTATTACTTAGTATGAAATAGTTTTGAGCGCTGGGTGTCTTCTGTTTCTTGAGAACAGCAGTTGGATTGCTGCCCTCTTCTACCTAGTTCCTTTCTCCTCTGAAGAGTAAGTACCACTCGGTAAAGAAGTCAAGTTTGTAGTCATGTGCCCTGTCTTTCAAATTGAGCTGGCTTTTGTGTGGACTGCCAAGCACTGTCCAAATATTTGAAGATCTTTACTAGTAGTAAGTGATAAGCTGTAAGCAAATAATAATCTCACATGATTGTGAGATTCTTGAGACATCTCCTTCTAGCCTGGAATCATTCCTTCAAATTGCTACTTTTATTCAGATTGCACATTGCTATTATTTTATGTGCTATTGTCAGATTTCTATTACATTCACATTATTCTTATTCCCAGTTATATTAATCTTACTCCCAATAGATACCAACAGTAGTTCTTGTTGCCTAAGATAAAATTTGGTTGTTTTATCTCCCTGTCTGCCCTTTAAAGACATGGATTGTTTGGGTGAAGTGACTCATACAGCTGTACTGATGGAAATTTTAACAACTGGCTGTCTGAGGAAAATAAGTCAAAAGCCAAGGATCAGATAAAAAGCGCGCTATTTATTTTTAGAGTTCAAATTTGAATGATAAGCCAACAGCCTAGCTATTGCACAAGATTGATTACAAATATGTCAGAGGCAGTCATTCTAACAAGCAAAATGGAAAGGAAGTAGGGGAGCTTTGACTATTCCCTCAATAATAGCTTTGTTCTGGATAGATTTAGTGGAGAGTATTGACAGCTCTGTTACAGAGCCTTTGATAACAAATCTAAGTTATTCTACTTTGCCGGTACACTAACAATTACAGTGTGTTCTGTAAGTGTAAGTTCTCTAAGTGGCTTTTCTTAGAAACAAAATTGCTTCATTAACATAATGAGATATTGCTTTATAACTGCAATTATTACATTCACTCAGATTTGTCATACATGTTTGGTAGCATTTTCTTAGGGAAACCATCATTGCCAGAAGTAAAGTAGAAAATGTGCATTGAGCCTTTATTGAAGGTCAAGAACTATCTCCATGTTTGAACAGAATCTGGATGTTATCTCTTTAGCCAAAAGAAGCCTTGAAAAGAAGTGAGTTCTTCCTGCACTGTTAGCTGCCATTTGCAAAGGAGGCACACATGCTCCTGCTTATGATTTTGTTTGCTGTAAATGTTATCTTGCCATTGCAAGTATCTATGGCTAGTTTGTCTATCTCTTTAGGCTCAATCTGAAGTAGCGGTCACTGAATTTTTGGTTTGCTCTTGCTTTTGATCTCTCTCCATTCAGCAAGAGTGCTTCCAGCAGGAATGAAAGCTCCTGCTAGTACAGGCTAGAGGTTCCATGCTTAGGTGTTGCTCAGAAAATCAGTAAGGAGGCTAAGGATAGGATAGTGGGTATGTGTAATGAACATATTGCTCCTGAATATTACGATTGCTCTGTATGATACCCTTACATATATTAAAGATGGAAAAATGCCAGTTACAAGGGGGAAGAGTAGACATGCTATCTGAATTTTGCAGTGAATGGTGCTGAATATGGTGTAGAAATAGAAGAAATGTTTGAATAGGCCAGGAGTGAAAGGGAAAATTATGAGATATATAGGATCTATCAAAAGAACTGAGACTAGGGAGCAGTTTGTTGAAAAAAACTAGGAGTGAAAAGAGAAAAATGAGAAGCTAGTAGGAGAAGAAGCAAAGAAAGGAGAATTGTAGAATAACAGCATATAGAAATTGTGTTGAGAGAGGAGACAGTAAGAAAGGAAAGTGGGGGTCATGTGAGAGCAAAAGACATGACAGAAATCAGCCCTAGCATAGCAGAGATTCCAGGGTAAGTAGATGTGGTATAAAACCAGAACATTTTGGCAGTGTGGCTTGGTGGCAAGCCCTTCTGCCTCTGCAGCTGTATGGGAGAGGACTCCCAGAGAGTTTTTCTCACTGTAGTCAGCCAACCATAAACAACATGCAAGGGGAACAGTAGGACTTCTTGGGTGCTCCAGTGTCATCTGTCTTACAGACTGTTCTGCTACTCCACGGTTCTTTCAAGTAGTCTGAGCTTCGTCATAGAATCGTACAATAAGCTGAGTTGAAAGCAACTCATGAGAGTCAGAGTCCAACTCCTGACCCTGCACAGGACCATCCCCAAGAATCACACTGTGTGCCTGAGAGCATTATCCAGCTGACACAGGCTGTGTTGTGCCCACTTCCCTGGGGATCCTGTTCCAGTGCCCAGGTGCCCTCACAGTGAAGAACCTTTTCCTGATACCTGAGCTAAACCTCTCCTGACTCAGCTTCATGCTGTTCCTCCAAGTCCTGCCACTGGTCAGGAGGGTGAACAAATCACTGCCTGTCCTTCTGCTTTCCCTTGTGAGGATGGTAAAGACCGCAGTGAGGTCTTCCCTCAGTTTCCTCCTCTAGGCTGAGCAATCCAAGTGCCCTCAGCCACTCCTCATAAGGCTTCCCCTCCAGACCCTTCTCCAGCCTTGTGGTCCTCCTGTAGATGCTCTCTAGATAGAGTAATGCCTTTATGTTATAGTGCCCAAAATTTATGCAGTTGTTCTGAAGCCAGTGACAAATGCAGAAGCCCTCATAGGTTCACCATGTTCTGTGATATTTATACACAGACCTTGTACCTCTCCACACCTCCTCTCCAGGGACAGTAAAAGATGGTAGGCATTTGAGCTGAAGAAGGATTTCTAATGGCTACAAGCAACTGAAGCCTTGTTACACCACTGAAAAGCATTCTGGAGCCACACAGACATTTTTTCAGTGGGGTGCTGTGACAATTTGCTTTGCAGTCTTTGGACAGTTACTGTTCAGTCTGTCACCAGGCTTGAGCAGTGTGGTTCCCTGCTGAATAAAGGGCTCTGAACTCCCACTGAGGTGGTTTGATTTAAAGATGGGACTTGTAATGATTTCTCACTCCAGTGGGAGCTGCTGATAGTGCCACAGATAGCTTATTGTACACAACAAAGCAGGGATATAAAATATACATCACTGAAAGGAATGAACTCATTATACTCATCACAACAAGCAAAAAATTATTATTACTCCACCCAACAAAAAATTTATACTTGGAAAATAATTATAAGATTGAATATGCATATTTAGAAATGCAGGGATGGAAATATGTACAGGTAGAGTTCAAGCTAGCACTTCCAAGAATGTGGATTGCTCAACAACTGCACCATGTTCTTCCGTGTATGACTCCAAAGCATTTTAGATAGCACTTTAGTTTCATATGCACATCATTAGCATATGATTTTTTTTTTGTGGCCGTATGACATCCCTCTGTCATCATTTCTCTTACACCTTTATCTTATGTTAATCTTTGTCCCTAATTGATTACTACTAAAGTCAGCAAGTGTCTTTCCACTGAGTTTAATGAGAAATCATGCAGGCTGCATGCTACAAGGGCTGGTGCATCATGGTGTACTTGCTGCTGCACACTTTTCGTAGCTGCTGGGGTCAGAACAGATCCAGTTCCCTTCTGAACTGCTCTGTTTGTCTAGAGTCTAC